TTCTCTGACACGTTTCTGCTTTACACACATTCTGGACTCTCTAACCAGAATATCTAATCTATATTATATAATCAAACCACTGACCTTCGATTAGCAGCTGAGTGCTTTAACTACTACACTATCAAACCAAAAAAAAAAAAAAAAAAAGCCAAACTCATTGCCATTGAGTTGATTCCAACTCATAGTGACCTCCTTTGGGTTTCCAAGGTAGTAGTAAATCTTTATGGAAGTAGATTGCTCCATCTTCCTTCCACAGAGTGGCTGGTGGGTTTGAACCACCAACCTTCTGATTAGCAGTCAAATGCCTTAGCCACTGTACTACCAGAGTTCCTCTATGCCATCAGAGCTCCTTATATGATGGATATTTAGTATTATATATTTACACACACAGAAACAAACTATCTTCATGGCAATGAAAGACTATTTTCTTGTGGCCTAAAGTTGTTAGTCCAGGTACATCTGTTTGACAGAAATAGAAAAGGAAAGAATGGGGAAGGGTAAACAGATTATTTTCTGTCTAGGAGACACTGATATTCTGTAATTGGTAATTTAGTTGTTTTAGTCTCTTTTCTGAGGAGAAATGCTCGGTGGCCAGTCAGAGTATGGTGGTAGTATTTCTCTTATGACAGAGATCATTTTCTCAGGACCGCAATTAGTATGTAGCTTTTAAAAGTCATATATAAATATGACTGAGTCTGTTTCATGTCTGGAAGAACCCTAGACGTTTTGGCTCGATTTTCACCTGTGGAGCCAGGAGAGAATTCTTTCTCAAACTCGAGCACTATCAGAATCAGCCTCCAGTCCCCTCAAATGGTGTTTGTTGAGAGAGGATAGGATATACTCACTCCATTGTTATTGCCCTAATTCATAGTCTTCGTTTGTATCATTTAAGTAGGAACCCCCCTGGTGTTCTGCTTCTCTAACTCAGCTTCTCTCTCTAATTCATTCTCAACATTCCTACTAGACTTTGAAGTTCTAAACATAAATCCAATTGTTATTCCCTTTCACTACATTCCTTACTGGCTGTTCATTTATTTGCCTAAGCATGGATCCAAATCCTTTGAAAATTCCATTTAAGATGCTTTGTCATCTGATGCCAGTTTTCCTTCTACCATCATCTCCAGCATGTCTTTCTACAGGGTCCGTACTGTAGCCATACCAGTTATCTTGTCATGCACCTCATACAGAAGAGGCACTAGTCACTTAAGATGTTATGTATTTTATTTATTTTGTTTGCCTACAAGTATTATATATTAGCTTCATCATGTGAGCAGTGATTTTTGTCTGTTAGGTGTACTGCTGTATGTTTACCACCTTAGTTTAGGACAGTGCCTTATACATAGTAGGAACTTGATAAATTTGCATCCATGAATGGATTTTTAGATCAACCTATCTTCAAATAAGCAAACCAGGGTTAATATTAGAACCTTCTCTGTGCCAGAGACAAAACTGTGACTGATTTAAAAAATTTAAAAAATCAGTCTGGGTAAAAATTCTATTTCTCACATCAAAAAAAATAATAATAATTTTGTTTAAGGCATTGGGACTTCAGTCATTACTCAGGGATTTGGGTGAGTAAAATTGCTATAATAACTTGCTCTTTCTACATCATGTGCTTGTAGCTTTCAACAAGAATATGATGTAATTCAACACTGAGAAATTATATTCTAGGTAACATTTTTCTTTAAGTGAAGAATAAGAAATCAAGTTGCCTTCCTTCAATAGCTGGTCTATAAACAGAAATCTCTTATGTAGCTGAACCATTTCATTTTCCTTATGTTCTGTGATGATAAATGCTGAAATACAACAGATTGCAGTCCTACCAGAAAATAAAAAAGGTGGTTTCTTTTTAAAGTTGCTCTTTTTCTCATTATTAAAATTTATTTCAAGTTGCAATTCAGTGCTTGGAGACAGTTTTTAAGATCAGCCCAGAAGATACACATCTTGCAGTTCCCCAGCCTTTGACAGAAATGTTCACGAATTCCTTCTGTAAGGTAAGCTGTCACTGTTTCTCATTAGTACTTGATTTAACTATGGTTTTATATTGCTTTGTTACCTAATTGAGGGGCCTGGGGCTCTGGTGGCATAAAACCAAACCAAACTCACTGCTGTTGAGTCGATTAGACTCATAGCAACCCCTCCTTGGGTTTCTGAAGTGATATCTCTAAAGAAGTAGATTGCCCAGTGTTCCTTCCAAGGAGTGGTTGATGGGTTTGAACTGCCAGTTTTCTGGTTACCAGTCAAATGCCTTAGGCACTATGCCACCAGAGCTCCTTCTGGTGGCATAAACTAAACCAAACCAAACTCATTGCTGTGGAGTTGGATCCAACCCATAGCGATGCCTCCTTGGGTTTCTGAGGTGATAGCACTATGGAAGTAGATTGCCCAATCTTCCTTCTGAGCTCTGGTGGCATAGTGTGTAAGATATTTGGCTGCTAACCAGAAGGTCAGCAGTTCAAACCCACCAGCTGTTCCATGGGAGGACAATGAGGTGATCTACTTCTGTAAAGATTTACAGCCTTGGAAACCCATTGGGGATTGCTATGAGTTGAAATTGACTCCTTGGTAGTGGGTTGGTCTTGGCTTTGGGCCTATAAGTAACTAACTTCTTCCTAGGTATAAGCCGCACAGTCCATATGGGTACCAGGTGGGACATGAAAAAGCATCTTTTAATGCATTTTTAGATTTTCGTATTAGTAGCTATTATCATCCTCTCACCTTCTTTTGTATTTAATAATATGTCTTAGTTGACTTCTTTAAGTCTTTTAAATATCTGAGTCTTTTCAGATTTCTAATACCTGAATTGATATTTCCCTAAAACGTGGAATACAAGTTGAAAACCAGTATTAACATCTAGAAAGCAACCATGAAGAAATAGCTTCATCAGGAATTGATCATCGTTTCTGAAGTAGATTTCATTAAATTTGGCCATTGACAGGGAAAAACAGGGAAGCTTCAGGGTCAATGTGCAAAACCAAGACTGAAACCCAAGTTTTCTGATGACTGTTCATGTTGTCTGTGATTTTGCTAAAAGGGCAAGAAGGCCACATCTTCTGACCTCCTCTAACCACACAAGAGGAAGACAGACTCACTGTCAATAGCCCAAGGCCCATTCCTGTGGGGCCAGACATGCTGCCTCCCTTCAGCCCTTAATACCACCCATTCCTCCTGCAGCACCCAAAGCCTATCTGCTGGGTTTGATAATTCACTGCAGTGGCCACACAGAACTCACAGATTATGGGGTTTATTAGGGAAGCACCATGTTCAAGTTCAGGAACATTTGGTCTCTCTCCCAGCCCACCGTCTCTCACCCAACAGTCTCTCTCAGTCTCTTTCCCAGCAATGTATGTCTCTTGGTGTCTCTTTCTCAGCAGTACATGTTTCTCGGTGTCTCTTTCTCTCAGCAACATGTCTTCCTCAGCCAGAGGTCAGAGAGTTTTGCCTCTAGGAAGCCTCCTTTTGAGCCTGGCAGAGTGGCCAAACTAGCCAATCATAGCATCAGGATTCTAAGCACCTGAGAGAGAGTGACCTTCCCAGAACACTGCTTTGTGCCACTCCCCACAGAAATACCCCAGGTGGATAACATTTACAATCAGGAGATCCTCAGTTGCTTACAGCATATTCCACCATGGAATTTACAAAGACATGACTAGAAAAGTCATATCAGGTAATTTACCACACCACAGATTTCTAGCCTTGATGGAAAACATAGACCATAAATTGTCTTAGAAAAATTTTCAGATTAGATTTTGTGCCTTGCGAATTCTTTGTTGTTCTAGTTCTGTATCTTAACTTCAGTATGGAATGAGGAATTCAGGAATGGAGTTGAAAAGTGTGGTGTATGCTTTAACCTGTAACCTGTATGCACAGTGCTGAAATAACACATTTGACTGGATTGTTTAGGCTTTGTTTCTAGAACCAAGAACTAGGAAAGGTTCTTAGGATTGCAACAAAGACGTTAATCTTTTTATACTTGGGGAAAGAATAATGCGGTTATACATTAATTCATTAAACATGAATTCTGCTGGTATGACAAGGTCTGGTGAGATAGTTGCATCTCTATTTCTCATCAGAGAGTTCCCTTTTCTTCCCTTGTGGTTAAAGTGGGCTGTAGTTCTCTCATTCTGTGGATTCAGAGAACCCTATTTTAATTGCTGGATATGGCTATGGCTGAGCATATCATCTTTAGTGTTAGATGTCCTAGAGGTCTGTGTTTGAGGCAGCACTTGAGTTTGCTTACTCTTAAGCTACTATCACCATTGACCTAGTAATGAAGAGATCAGAATTTTGCTTGCTTCCCAAAAAGCTCAAAGTGAATTTTATACCGTTTGAATAAAACTCTATTTTTCTCCCCTTTATCTTTCTGATTGCATATAATGGTAAGAAATTGGTTGCTTACTGTTTTCTTAACATAGTTTCTTGAAACTGGCTCCATACTATATTGTCATTTGTTGTTAGGTGCCATCGAGTTGGTTCTAACCTCATATTGGCCCTGTGTAAGACAGAATAAAACACTGCCTGGTCCTGTGCCATCCTCACAATTGTTACTATGTTTCAGCCCTTTGTTGCAGCATAGTATATTATAACAGTGTTATTTATGGTGTCATAATTCTTTAGTAGTCCTATTTTACAGCTCTGGTTTCATTACATATGTGTTTGTTAGCAGAATATGGCAGAGAAATTATAAAACTTGTGTGAAATAGCATCAGTATTGTTATAATTAAAGAAATTATTTGTCTCACCAAGTGTATTTGGCTGTTAAATAGGTCATACTATTTTGGGATACTGCTTTTCTGTTTTTCACTCCCCTCCAGTTCAGCTTATATACTAAATACATTCATTCTCTTTATTTATAGTAGGCATTGCTCACCCCCACATCATGGGCTGCTGATACTCAATTGAATATGAGAATTAGTTTTCAAAGTTATAAAATTGTGGTAATTTCATTAAAATAATTCAGAAGCAATTGGAAGACAGAATGGATTATAATCTAGTTTTCAAAATGCTTTTTCTAACCTAAACAAGTCACTTTTCCCCCCATGCATAAACTCTGCTCAGGTTTGTTTTAAGAGTTGAAATAGAAGGAGCCCTGAAAGCAAGTAATAACAAATACTGAAGGACAGTATTGTGTCTTGAAACTATCATTACATCCTGAGCATCTTTAGTTATCTAGTGCTCCTGTAACAGAAATACCACAAGTGGATGAGTGGATGTCTTTAACAAATAGAGATTTATTTTCTCACAGTTCAGTAGGCTAGAAGTCTGAAATCGGAGTACCAGCTCTAGGGGAAGCCTTTCTTTAAGTCACTTTGGAGGAAAGTCCTTGTCTTTTTAGCTTCTGTTTCTTGGTTCCTTGAAGATCTCCATGTGTTTTGGTATCTATTTTAGGCCATCTTTCCTTCTTTTACTTGTTTGTTAATATCCTTTCCATCTCAAAAGAAATTGACTTATGACACACATTATACTAATTCTGCATTGTTAACATAACAAAGAAAACTCATTCCCAAATAGAAATATAACGAAAGGCATGTTGTGCGGTGCCATGAAGTTTCCACTCATAAGAACCCCATACCCAACAAAATGAAACACTGTACAGTCATGCACTATCCTCAGAATCATTGCTATACTAGAACACATCATTGTAGCCATTGTGTCACTCCATCTCGTTGAAGGACTTCTCCTTTTTTTGCTGACCCTCTACTTTACCTAGCATGATACCTTCTCCAGGGATTGGTCCCTTCTGACAGCATGACCAGAATATGAGAGACAAAGTCTGGCCATTCTCTCTTCTAAGGAGCATTCTGGCTGTACCTGTACTTGCTCCAAGGCAGATTTGTTTGTTTTTCTAGCAGTTGATAGTATCTTCGGCATTCTTTGCCAACACCACAATTCAAATGCATCAATTTTTCTGCAATCTTCCTTTTTCATTGTCCAGCTCTCATATGAATATGATGCTACTGAAAAGACCATGGTTTGGGTCAGGTACACCTTAGTTTTCAAAGTGTCGTCTTTGCTTTTGAACACTTTAAAGAGGTTTTTTGGAGCCTAATTACTGCCTAATGCAGTAAGTTGTTTGATTTTTTTAAAAAAATACATTTTCTTGAAATATAATTTATGTATAGTGAAATACACAAAACTAAAGTGACATGGGTTGATGCTTTTTTTTTTTGCAGTGTTCCATCACCTCCCTCCCACCCCTGGTAACCAACAAATAAAGTTTCCTTCCATATATAAATCCTTCCTTGACTTTTTACAATAATGAACTAATACTATATTTGTCCTTCTGTGACTGACTTATTTCACTCAGCATAATGGGCTCCAAGTTAATCTATGTTGTGCGGTGTTTTACAGATTCTACATTATTCTTTACTGTTTTATAGTATCCCTTTGTGTGTACGTACCATAGTTTGGTTATCCATTCTTCTGCTAATGGGCACATAGGTTGTTTCCATCTTTTTGCTATTATAAATAGTGATATGATGAATGTGGGTGGGCATATATCCCTTCTTGTCCTGGCTCTCACTTTTTTAGGATATATACCTAGTAATGGAATGGCTGGGTCAAATGGTATTTCTAATTCCAGCTTTTTAAGGAATCACCATACTGTTTTCCACAGTGGTTGTATCATTTTACAGTCCCACCAGCAGTGTATGAGAGTCCCAATCTTTCACATCCTCCCCAGCATTTGTTATTTTCTGTCTTGTTGAACTTTGCCATTAGTGCTGGGGTGAGATGGTATCTCATTGTTGTTTTGATTTGCATCTCGCTGATGGCTAATGATTGTGAGTATCTCTTCATGTATTTGCTGGCCACCTGAATATCCTCTTTGGTGAAGTGTTTGTTCATGTCTTCTGCCCATTTTTAAATTGGATTGCTAAACTTTTTGTTGTTGAGGTGTTGGAGTTTTCTATAAATTTTAGAGATAAGTCCCTTGTCAGATATGTAATTATCGACAAGTATGAATTTGTTGCTGTCATATTGTCATGTGCTTTTT